GCCTGCTCGGTGAGCAGGGTCTGGAAGTCCCCGAGGCTGAGGAGGTCGAGCTCTCCCTGGCGGATGCTGTACCGGTGGAAAACGTCCACCACGCGCTGCAGGGCCATCTCCAGGGTGCAATTCCCGGGGAACTGCCGGCCCTCGGCGTGGCTGCGGGTGCTGCCCGACATGGCTGAGTTACGGGGGTGCCTGCAGAGACAGGGGGGGGAACCCCCCCAGAGATGTGAAATCGGGTGTAAATTATATTCAATATATTGAATATAAGGCCAAATTGCAGGTATTTGTAGTGTATATTGCAAAATAAATAACATTATGTATATATATATATATATATGTATATATTACATATATAACATTATATATATAAAATAGGTGCTATAATAACATTATTTATATTATATATATATTATATATTATATATTATGTTACTTATGCATATAATATAATATATAGGTACTATGTATCATATGTGATGTTACTTATATATATAATATAATATATAGGCCCTATGTATTATTTATGATTTTACTTATATATATAATATAATATATAGGTACCATATATTATTTATGACTTTACTTGTATATGTAATATAATATATAGGTACCATATATTATTTATGATTTTACTTGTATATATAATATATAGGTCCTATGTATGATTTATGATTTTACTTATATATATAATATAATATATAGGTCCTATGTACTATATATGATGTTGTTTATATGTTTAATGTGTGTGCTGTATATTTATACAACCCTAAATTTTATATGTGCTGGGTTATTTAGTATCTATATTGCAATGTATTAAAAATATAGATTATAATTAAATATATGTGTTTTGGTTTTGCATGTAGTGCCAAATTGTATATTGTGTTATTTCTATATATAATATATCTATATTATGTGATATATATTATATTACTTATATATTATAATTTACATTACATACATTGCCTATTATAATTTTTATCATGATAGCTATAAATTATAGTTATCTTTATAAATTATTTCTATTTTTATATATTATATTTTATGTTACATCTATATTATATTCTATCTATATGATATCTATATTATATTATATCTATATTATGTTCTATCTATATTATATCTATATTATATTATATCTATATTATATTCTATCTATATTATATCTATATTATATTATATCTATATTATGTTATGTTATATTATGTTATGTTATGTTGTATTATGTTATATTATGTTATATTATTTTATACCATAATAATTATCTTAATTATAGTCTAGTCTAGCATATATAATGCCAAACCATATCTATATTATTTTAATACCCAATAAATAATATTTTAATCACGCACATGCACTACAATAAATCACATGCCCCATACATCACACACATCCCATATCGCGCCAGAATTTCCTTCCACTCCTTTCGCAGCCCAAACCACCTCCAAACACCCACATCCAAAAAACCGCATCCCCCCCCACCACCCTCGGAGCCCCCCCACGGCCCCACTCACGGAGGGAGAACACGGAGCGGGTGCCTTTGTCCCTGGGTGAGCTCCGGGAACCTCGGGCAGCCCTTTTATCCCCGCCCGAGGGGCGGTTTCGCCACCACCAGCCGGTGCCACACCTGGCACAAGCAGCGACTCGAGCTCGGCTCTTCCCGCTCCTGCAAATTGCCGGGTGGGCCCTTCCCGAACCTTCCCTTCCCTTCCCGAACCTTCCCCCGGCCCCTCCCGGCTCGTTCCTCGTTCCTGGTTGCACCCACCGACCCTTCGGGACCACCCCAAACCAAGGGGGTGACTTTGCCCTCCCCCCCGATTCTGTTTTTCGTGTTCTCTGCTTCCCACAACCCCCAACTGGGTGGGAGATTCTCCCCAGGGTGAAGAAGAATCCCCCTTTCGAAGTCGTTTTTCCCGAGTATTTTCCGCTCCTTTCCGTCTTCACATCACCCCTGCCAGACCTTTCCCCCCTCGCTCCAGGAATTTTCTGGAGCGAGCTGGGCCTGAAGCCGGAAGAAAACGCCGAAGAAAAGCCAAAGAAAAGCCAAAAAAAAGCCAAAAAAAAGGGCCAAAGAAAAGCCAAAGAAAAAAGCCAAAGAAAAGCCAAAGAAAAACAAAAAAAAAAAAAAAAAAAAAAAAAAAAAAAAAAAAAAAAAAAAAAAGCCAAAGAAAAGCCAAAAAACCCAAAGAAAAGCCAAAGAAAAGCCAAAGAAAAACAAACAAAAAAAAAAGCCAAAGAAAAGCCAAAAACTCGGGGTCTTTGCGGGCCTGGTGGATGAGCCACCCAAGGGGTTTTGCAACTGTCACCTCTGTGTCACCCTGGGGAGGTTCTCGGAAGGTTTAACCCAAGACAATGGGGACCAGGAAGGGGAGAGGAGCAGCCAAACAAAAGGGTAAATTAAACCGGTCCCGTTTGAGGATGCTCCTGGGGTGGCCCCGGGGGCAGCGGCAGCAACTGTTGCATGAGTTTTGTTCCCGCATCCCTGACTCATTTTATTGCTTTTTTTTTAATTGTTTTGGGGTGTGTGAGTTCCCGCTCGGCTCGTTAGGGACTGTCAGCAGTCCCAAATTGCATCCTCGTTCCTCAGCTGACAGGGAAAGCCTCCAGCAAGGTTTGGGGTGCTTGTGTAACCCCCCCCCCCCCCAACCTGTGACATCTGGGCCCTGAATTCCCGTTTTTCCTCCCAAACCCCCCCAAAAAAACCCACCTGTGGGGGAGGCCACTCGAGGTGCCCAACCCTGCCAGGGGGAGCGATGCCCAAGTGCCACCAGGGCGGTCCTGGCAGGACAGTGAGTGGCATCTGCCCCCCAAGGGCTGCTCCCCAAATCCC